CTTATGATTATTATTATGATTATGATTATGATTATTTTTATTACTATTATTATTACTACTATTATCATTATTGGGGTTTGTAAATTACATTATCTAACAATGGTGAAATAGTGACGTTAAATGTCACCCCTTGTGGCTGCCACACAACTAGAAGTTTCTGCGCGACAATTGTAGCTCGTCTGTCTACTACCAAAACAAAACCAAACGTTGTTCCCCAAACAACAGTTTAGAACCAACTGCCTACTTTAAGTCAATGCACATTCTCATTTTCACGGATACACTTTGAACATGTACACGCATTTAAAAATGAAATGAACCAGTATAAAAGTTTGATAAACATTAATGGTAGGAACTGAAAATCGATACAGATCAAAACGAGACTCAATGTTTAGACGTAATTTTTTCTCTAAAAAAAACAACAGAAAACAATGTTTTGTTTTTGCTATTTCCTTGTCTTTATTATTATTTCTGTTTTTATTTTGGAGAAAGACTTAGTTTATACAGCACCTGTAGTGTAGCGTGCGGGCGCTTTGCCGTTGTAAGCAGATGACCTGAGTTTGATTACTGTGTGGTAAGAATTTTTAGCGAGTATCTCGGTCTTTCTGCAGGGACGTTGTTTCCATCTCAGTTCGGGTTGGCCTTGGCAAACGAGGTCGAAGCCTGCCTTCTACATGATGTAAAATATGTTGATTGGGGCAAAAATACTTACCGAGTAAAAATGATTTTGTAATCCCGTCTGAAGCTCCTTGGAACAAACCTCTTCATATTTTTATGAATATGTACGTCGTCGTCATCATCATCATCATTGTCTCTCTCACCTTAGATCAGGGTATAGGCTACGGGCAAATACTCTAACACTTTCCCCATTTCCCTATTCTGGGCCAGCGTCATGATATTATTTCATGTCTTCCCACTCTTTTGTGTATCATTCTCTGTGACTTTTCTCCATGTTCTACGTGACCTTCCCTTTGACATCCTACCGTGTAGATTCCTAATTATACAATAATTACGTTAGACATAACAAGGGAGGAGGCACAATAAAAGAAGGGAAACACACTTCACTACTCGGTTTAGAATAAGGCTCTAATCTTCTTGGTTTGGGGACACCAGAGACAGACGTTATATATGGCGGCCCCTCCTTTTAAAATAAGGGACAGTGTTGAAAATAGAGCAAAACTAATATACTTACCATTTATTTTTTCTTATGCATTTTATCTAAGCTTCCACTTTGCTTCATTGACATCATAACAATTGAGCCTGACAACAAAGCTGTTTGAAAATCTGACTTCCCTGTTAAAATCAATACCGTATCCTGGAGACCTCCCTCCTCCTGCGGTTAATCATGTTGTTTCATCAACGGATTTATTTCTGGAAGCTCCTAAATGCATTGCGTGTTGTTTGGAAGCACAGATCAAATTTTAAACTTCAAGCAGCTGTTCTGTCTGTCGATTAAAAACAGCAGAGTTTTGGGGGAAAAACCCAAACGGAAGTAACCCAAAAACCTACAAAAAATCCCCACGTGGACGATTTAAGGCCAGAGAGCAATGCCCTGAAGGGGTAGAATAAAAGGATTGTTTTCCTTCTGGCTGTGGGAGAATCTAGGAGGTCGGCATGACATTGCTTTGTGTTCACAACAAATGCGTGGCATCGAGGTGAAATCACTCTCTCGTCAAAATAATGAAATAAAAACGCGACATTTTCTTCGCGTGTTGGACAATTTCCATAAACTTTTATTGAGTCAACAACTGCTATGCCCTTTTTAAAGCATACTTCTTTTCGTGTGGA